TAAGATCACATAGTCTATCTCAGTAAGAGTTGCCTCATCCTGTTCACTTGATGATTGTTGTAACACTGAACATACAATGCATCTTTGTGAATATTTCCTCTTTATAAGCACCAATGCCTTGGCACTTCTTTGTGTGATATTTTTGGCTATGCAGAGCACTGAGAAATTAAAAGGAATTAGATTTATATTACAAAAATATGCAGAGCTCAGCCTTGATGTTATCAGGTTTCCTGTGACTGCCATTCTGTCTTGCTGCCCAAGTGATTTAGTGAGATCTTTGAGTCCTACTGAACAACTGTCTTAAATGTTGTCCAATTTTCTTTGAACGGTAGGAAGTGTGCCATAAAATATCAGTGATTTATTTGTAATTGAAAGTTACTAGTTGTCAGTGAACTACGTGATACTGAAGGGGACTAAGTAACCATATCTTAAGTATATTTGTAATAAACCCAAAGGTGAGTAAAGCTGCACTTGTTTGTTTTAGTTATGTCTTTTTGGGTTTGTTTGTTTGTTTGTTTGTTTTTTCTTCAAGAAAATGTATCTTGAGCTTAAAATTTATGTATGGAGCTTTTGTAATTGTTTTCCAGAAACAGGAATTACATTCTTCTTGAAAACAAGAACTGTATCTTTTCTTGGGAATTTGGAAAAAGTAAAATTTTGAGAGAAAGTGAAAAATAATATAATGCACTTTGAGATATGCATGTTAATTATACATGCTGTGTCTGTGTTAACTCCAATAGAAATTAAAAAGGAAAGGACAGACGCTCTGAAAGTGCACAAATCCTAACCCAACTCTTATTTTTTCTGCTTATGCCAAGCAATAGGATCAGATTTCTTCTACCAGCCTCAATTTCTTTTCTTGCATATCTATATCTATAAAATCTTTTACTTTTGCGTTTCCCACTCATTTTCAGGATTTATGCCTCTTAGACATTCAGTATGAGGTGAATTGTTAAGTTATCTGAGCCTTTCACAAGCATTCTGTTTAGTAGAAGTTGCAGTGGTTAACGTGAATGAGCATTTGTCTTTGTCAGAAAGACTTAGTCGTCATTTTCAGCTCATGAATGAATATTCAGGCATAGTACTAACTTAACTACCAGAGATGGGAAAGTTGGAATCATAGAATGCTCATAGAATGTTCATAAAATCACCAAGGTTGGAAAAGACCTCTAGGATCATTCAGTCCAACCATTCACCTATCACCAGTACTTCCTACTAAACCATGTCCCTCAGTACAACATCTAAAAGTTTCTTAAACACTTTCAGGGACAGTGACTCCACCACATCCTTGGGCTGCCTGTTCCAGTGCCTACCCACTCTCTTGGATAATTATTTCCTAATGTACAACCTGAATCTTCCCTGGTGCAACCTAAGGCTGTTTCCTCTAGTCCTGTTGCTAGTTACGTGGGAGAAGAGGCCGATTCCCACCTCACCACAACCTCCTTTCAGGTAGTTGTAGAGAGCAATAAAGTCTCTCCTGAGCCTCCTCAAGACTAAACAGTTCCAGGTTCCTTGGTCACTCCTCATAAAGCTTGTGCTCCAAATGCCTCACCAGCTTTGTTGACTTTTCTGAGCAGCCTTTCATGTAGTGAGGGTCCCAAAACAGTACTCGAGGTGTGGCCTCACCAGTGCCAAGCACAGAGGATGATCTCTGCTCCTATTGGCAACACTATTTCTGAAATAGGATGCCACGATGGCCTTCTTGCTGGCACATTGCTTGCTCATGTTCAACTGAGCATCAATCAGTACCCCAGATCTGTTTCTCTACATGGTCTTCCAGCCACTCTGCTCTAATTCTGTAGGGTTGTCTGGGTTTGTTGTGGCCAAAGTGCAAGGCTTGGCACTTGGACTTGTTGAACTTCATCCCACTGACCTCAGCCCAGCTATCCAGCCTGTCCAGATCCCTCTGTAGGGACTTCCTACCCTGGCAGATCGACACTTTCTCCCAACTTGGTGTCATCTGAAAGCTTACTGAAGGTGCACTCAATTCTGTCATCAGTAAAAATACTGAATAGGACAGGTCCCAGTATCAACCCCTGGGGAATGGCTGGTCAGCAGCTGGGTGTGACCACCACACTCTGGGGCCAGCCATCCAGCCAGTTCTTTACCCAGCGGAGAGCATATCTGCCCAAGCTATGGGCTGCCAGCTTCTTCATGAGAATACTATGGGAAACAGTGTCAAACTATCAGTACTTTACAGGCCGATTTGGCCTGGTTCCATGACTAATGGTATGGGGAGACCCACAGACCCATGCCCCAGGAGAGAGGTGGGGAAAAAGGAGTACATGTGTCCTTATTAGTTTGTTAACAAGTGGATTTTGGAGGGATTTAGTCGTTAAAGTTGTAGTCAGCTCTTCAAGTACAGCAACATGTTTTGTTCTGCATTTTTTTCCCCCGAAATGCGTATGGTTGTTCTCTTCCTTCCCTATTTTACTCCTTTTTCTGTTCTCTTAGTCCCATTCCTTTACGGGTTCATTCATGCAGTCTTTTGCAGGCAGACAAGAACATGCTTTATCTGTGCTACATACTGAATTAAAGTCCTAGAAATCTCTGAATAGCTATTGTTACATTTGAAGCTGGCTTGGGACTTCTGATGTCCCCATCATCCTCTGCAGGGTGGATTGTAGCCTAGCATAGATTCTACAGTGCTGTGTGCATGTTCTAGATTTGTTGTTGTTGCTGCTGTTTTTTCCTTTTGTTGTGGCTCCTCAGAGACCCCCCTGCAAATCTCAGAGGTGATCAGAGCAGTTTGGATAGCAGTTTGCAGACAGAAGAGGATCCAGCTTTGCTGGATGGTGGAATGGTGAATGCATCTCACCAGATGTGCATAAAAGAGGCTGCTGCCTCCTTGGCCTTGAAGGCAAAACTCTGCCTTCTGTGCACTTGCATCTTTCTGTATTATGAGTTTCCATATTAAAGGATTCTCTGATGCTCTTTCACTTCTGTCACTTCCGGTCCCCTCTTTCTGAGAAAAAGCTCTGAGAAATTGCGGCTGCCTTCCAATTGCTTTAGGTTTAATTTTTTTACTTTGACTTTTTAACCATTTCTAGCTTACCAACATTGAAGTCTGTTCTACCTTTACTATTTCAAGCTGTGGCGACATTATCTTCTTCCTTCTTCCCCTATAATCAATTCCCAGCTTTATTTCTAGTGTCTCTATATTTCTTCCTAACATTTGCCTTTCTTTCCCTTAATGTGAATGAGCTATTCATTCAAGATAAATACATAAAACAGAAGATCAGCTATTCTGCTTCTCCCTATAGTGAAATATTAATCTGAGCTACTGAGCTTGTTCTATTCTATATGGAAAATATGTTGTTTAGTGTACTAAAGAACCAGAATCAGTGGTGGTGATACCACTTAATGAAAACTACACCATTTTTCATGAAGATTTCAAGGCTGTTGTATGCTTTCTCTGATGTTCTTTGTGCAGCCTGATTATTGCAAATGCTACTTACTCCCCAGTGTGTCTCTGCAGCATTGGTAATTAGTGCATAATACAATTTGCAGAAGGCATGAAGAAAAGCACTGAAGTGCATTGATTAACATTGCTGCTTGGTTTAAAGGGAAGACAAGACTCTACCTTATACCAAGGCCTAAATTACTTGGGGTGGGGAGCAGTGTCACAGACTAAATGTAGAAGTGTTTTTAGAAATAAAAAATTCATTGCCCTAAATAAATGTCAAAACAGGCCTAGTCCCAGACTAAATTCTTTTCTTGTTTCCATAAGGTTTCATATACTTGTAGATAGAGAATATAGATGAGTTGCACGTATGAAAACTTCTCTACATGATGATAATGCACAGCTTTTTGTGGAGACTTGTTAAACCATCTCCAGCCAATCCAGAAGAAGATTCTCTTTTCGCTCTCAGGATGTTACCTGTGCCATTGTCTGTGCCTTTTCTTCTTCACAGAAAGAAGAATCTCTTGCACCTGATTTTACAGACGTGCTTTAGTATTTTTTCACTTGGAATTTGTGCTTTTCTGTTTTATATGCAGCATGACACATTGGTGCTGTCAATTAGACATCTGTCATCTGTCAATTAGACAGATGACAGACTAGATGTCAGTTTCTTATTATTTTTGATGAATCTGTTCTCATTTTTTGATGTGGAAGTAATAAGTTGGATCAAAGAGTATTTAAAGTACAATTTATCCAAAAACTGGAAATGCTAACTTTATTAAATAAGCAAAAGCTTCACTATGTGTTCCCTACTTGTGAAAAATACTTTTTTTTCCATTTTCAGGTTTTTTTTAATGTCTTCCTCATCATTTTTTAATATAGTTCTATAATTAAAACTTGTTCTTGCTTTATGAAAGAATATTCTTGGTATGTAGATCCTTCTTTTATTTAAGTACCATGATATCAGAAATACATCATAAAAAAAAATATCTAGTAGCCAGGCTTAGGAGAATTGCCTGTCATACTCAACCTTATAATCAGATGATTTTTCCCTTTGACACAATTTGTGCTTTGCATTCTCTGGATTCTTTAGTTGTATGAGCCTCTAGTTCACGCATTCTGGAAGTGACCAGTGGGACCTTAAGTTGTTTGTCGCTAATTACAACTTGTTAATACTCCTTTTGTAACCAAAATTTGAAAAAGACCTCAATGTAAGTGAAACTGTAGTTCAAAATGTGAAAATTCACTTCTTTAGAGTGGAAATTCATCATGCCTTACTAGGATAATTTTTTCCCAAAAAGATAGGTAGATGGTTTGCAAGGTCATTTTAAGCAGTCATTGAAGGGGAAGAAGGATTGGGAAATGGTAGTGAATTTTTCAGGACTGCATGAGAAAAGTCTGGTAAGTAGGCAGTAACTGCTATGTCAGCACCTGAAGCAGCACAGTGCTCATTCCTTTGTGGAATGAAGAAGGTGTGCTTGAAAAACTAAACTTTTGCTAAAATAACAACGTAGCAAACCATTTTTAAGTGATAAAAAATGCTCTTTTTCTCCAAATAGAAAAATAAAATTAAAAATTCATCTCTGTTTCCAATTAGAAACCCACAACCTGGGACAGAAAGGAGAAGACTTCTGTGCAGAATTTCAATTTCATCCAAATTCCTCCAGAAAAGCGGATTTTTTCATCCAAGCAGAAGATGAAGCACTGAAACTTTCAGATTTGTTAGTAACCAGTCAAGGAAGATCTCCAAATATGTGTGCGCAGTTCAGTTCCAGTCCTGGAGAATCAAGGTACAGAAATACCTCAATATATGTTGTTTTTTTTTTTCTAAAATTCATAATGCAAACAAAGTAGCTATAATATTTTATAATGTCAGGGAAGTTGAGAGTCAGTAAATCTTTTTACTTAGACTAGGAAAACTGATTTGTCTAGGCATTGAGTACTAGTTGATGGCTTGCACATGTAACTGTGACGACCGTATCTGTCCTTCTTTCCTGTTGGAATGCAGCATTTTAACACTGTCTCCTCCAGCACTTATAAAGAATATGTTCATGGCAGTGGCTTGTCTGCACACTGTAGGTACTTCAATTAATTGTAATCTCTTCAGGTAATTTAAAATGCGCGTATTGTACAGATTTAGAAAGGGTGATCTAAAGTCTAGTAGTATGTGTGGCTTTACACCATAAATGTACCCTAAGTATGATGACTGATTAGGCAATTAGATGGCATAAGCTAGGAAAGAAGAATGAATCAGGGTGAAATCTAGGTGAAGTCGGAAGACTAAAGGTGAGGAGTTGTAATACTTTGTAGGCAGGGTCTGTGACAGAAATCTAGAGAAGAGCAAATCTGACGATTCTATTCTGTCCTAAAGTTTTGTACTAAGCTATGGCCCTATATTGAAATCTTAAGAAACATACACACACATCCTATATGTGATGTAATATATGCACTGTAATGTATATACTAAAAATATATATATATAATATATTTTAAGCTCAAGGAAGGAGGGTTTAGATTGGATGTCAGGGAGAAGTTATTTACAGAGAGAGTGGTGAGGTGCTGCAATAAGCTGCCCAGGGAGGTTGAATACCTCCATCCCTGGAGGTATTCAAGACCAGGTTGGATGGAGCCCTGGGCAGCCTCGTCTAGTATCAGATCTGGAGGTTGGTGGCCCTGCACGTATTTGAATCTCTTCTCATTTTTCGCTGTCTCTGGCTAAATAAAGTAATCTTAAAACTGGAATTCTTGCCATCAAATATAATAATTAGAATAGCCCTATAATTTTGTAGTTTTCTGCAATACTAACTTCTAGATCTTCTCATTTCAGTAAATGTGAAATTGTTCATCCTGAAGAATTTGGTTTCTTATAAACTAAGCATCAATTTGATTCGCAAATGTTTCACTGCTTTGTTTTTCCATATTAATATTTGCTTCTCATAAGCATTTTCTGTTTATAGCCACTTTCTATTCATCAGTTTTATGCATTAGCACTGTAGTATATTTGCTTATTATTTCCATACTTAGAAGTTTTCTTTTAGACTTACAGGTTTAAGATGTAATAGAAACACATTTCTGTTATTGCTTCTGAACACATTTATAACAGTTAACAACTTTTGTTAGTTTATTTTTGCATACATTTCGGGAGGGTGAAGTGTTGTTTCCATTAATTTTTTTTTTTCTTTCTCCTATAAGTGGTGCTGTAGGAAGTAGAGGGAAAATACTCCCTGAATTTATATCTTCAAGGGAAGATCCCACAGGTTTTGGTGGAAAGACACAAACTTCATTCCTCCTAAAAGAATTGGACACTCTAAGGGCCAAAAATAAAAAGGTACAATTTAGATTCTCAGATCACAGAATTTATTATTTTACAATTGTCTCATAAAGCATAAATTTTAAACTGTTCCTAATTTAGTTTTGTTATTTATTTAAGCACTCTAAACAATAACTTTCTAGTTATTTTAGATTGTTAGTGCCTGGTTAACAACTGCTTTTCCAGAATTAAAAAATCTTTCATCCTGCTCTTTGACCTTTTTAATCAGTGACGTAAGTTCCAGCATCATGGATAAAAAAAAACCTACTGACGCTAATGGAAAAGTTTTCTTTGGCTTGAAAAAGCTTGTGGACTGGAGTCTCCACATAAAACATTATGTGTGGAATTATTTACAATAGAACACTTTGTAGTGATGACTGGCATCCTATTCATGTTATCAGAGCAGACAGTGTATTTTATATATGTAATTTGAGTATGTTTTGCCTTTGCTACCTCTTTTCTCTTTTGTACTTCTGATATAATAAAGACAGGACTGTAGCTTCTCTGTTATAATAGAGTAGTTCAAATGATGACACTATGGCACAATTCAAAATCTGAAATTTACGTTCTGCAGTACACGTGATCTATTTCATTAAACACTCCATTCCTAATCTTAGGTGGCTCAAGCATTTCATTATAAGTTTTTGAGCTCTTAAATGCAAAAAAATTAGCAAAACTAAAGCCAATGTTTCATGAACGTAATCTGGAACTCATATACTGTACATGAGATCCATATAGCAACCTCACCTGGGTACCTCTGTGTTATTTCTACCATTAGGAATGGTTGTATCTGCATAAACAACAGAAAAATGTATAACCTTTTCACTAAATGTTCCCCAGTGAGGGGACAAAAAGCAGTTAGAACAAACTGGAACACAGGAGATTCTGTCTAATCAGGAAACGCTTCTTTACAGTTGGTTGGCTGAGCACTGGCACAAGCTACGTAGAGGCTATGAAGCATATCTTCCATGGAGATCTCCAAAAACTGCCTGAATGTGGTGTTGGGCAACCTGCTAAGGGTTTCCCTGCTTGAGCAGGGGATAGAGCAGTTGGACCCAAAGGGCCTGCCAACCTCAACCATCCTGTTATTATGTGGAATGTCACTGACTGTTCAATGACAAGCTCAGACATTTCTCCATAAGCAGAGCCAGTGAATTCCCAATTAAAAGAAAGACCTCAGCATGTAGAAGAATATCTGTTTTCTATCTGGTGATGCACATGGAAAATGATACATTTGCAGCTCTTCAGATATAAATTATGTCAGTACTCTTGATGGGAAATAGGCTACTCATGCAGTTACCACCTACATTATATTCCACGTAACTGAACTTCCTTTGTGAGAATGACCACAGACGTCCCCATTATCGTAAGAGGGGATTCCCAAATGAAAACAATGGCATCTACATTGCTGCTTTTCTCAAAGAGCAAGATAAAACAATTTATCTTAAATAAATTTGTCCTTTAAATAAATAAATTAAATAAATTGAATTTGTGGTATTACCAATATTTGTATTTTGGGAGTAAGACTGCAATTTAATATTTTGTTACACTTGTTCAATTCAGCTTCAAGATGAGGTGTTGGAAAAGGACAAGGAATTGAAGACAATAAAACTGGACTTAGAACTGCAAGAGAGAGCTACAGAAGCTAAGATTGCAGAAAAGATTGCAGGTACAGTAGGCAAGCGTTTAACAGATGGCTATATAGCTCATGCAGTACACGAGGTTGCTATATGACGTGGCCTAGTGAGTGTTAGCTTTATTTGCTAAAGGAGGGAAGATTTGACTTTTTTTTTTTCTTTCTTTCTTTTTTTTTTTTTTTGTGTGTGCATGTGTGGCTGTTTAGAGTTGCTTAGAAAATAGGTGGCTTTAACATCCTGGTACTGGTATTAGCAGGAGCTTTACCTGTATTCATACTGATTTGGGCATTAAATGCATTGTTAACACCATGTCAATCCAATCACAAAAAGGTTGTTTGTTTTGTTGGAAGGTCCTGAACAAACAAGGGGAAATAATGATTACCAGTGCCTCTACCTTTCAACCAGCAGTTCAAATACCACTTATTGTTTTAGCTCATGCAGAGCAATACTACCCCTCTCCTGGTGTATGAAAGTAGTTGCACATTCCCCTCACCTAGAGACCTGCACCTTTCTTGAAAATATGTGTTCTTCTGGCAGTTAATGAATTTTTATCTGATTATGTTATGTCTCCAGCGAAAGAGGCCTTAATGTTTTTAAGTTTATGGTTAAGAGTGGATACATGCTTATATCTGTTGTTAATCATCCTTTGGTATACACACAAGACTGGAAACAGTTTGCATTCTGTGATTTCAGAAATGTCTAAAGTAATGAAGGGTGAGCATTTTTATTATTATTGAAAGGTGACAGTGTGTATCTTGTACTCTATAGATGAAATGTTCTCTGAGGTTTTCCTCTAGGTGTTTCAAATAAATTAATGAGAGTACTTTTCTTAATTAATCGTATTATTTGTTCATAAATACAGTGTAAGCTATGTAAAGTTGTGTCCTTGTGGAGGATAAATATTCAAATAATATTGATAGTAATAATACCTGTTCCCAAAATATCAGTGTTGGGGTAGGGAGTAACTAGGAAAACAGCAGTGAAAATAAACTGAAAAAACAGACGGCTGACTTTACGCTTAACATGAAACTCCTGGGAGTAAATTAGTCTCTGCATACTCCAAGTAGAAAATTGCTAGATTTTCTGTGGTAGAGGATGAGAAAGGAGGAAATGGCCATTATAAGTCAAGTTTAAGTGAAATGCAGGCAGAATTTTACTTTTCTATCACCCTAAATGATCTTGTTTTCGGTACTTTCAGAAGACAAAAGAAGGCTGCACTGCACATCATAGTTGTATCCATCAGCCAAATGCTATTGCAAATTGTTTGGGTTGAATTCCAAGTTTTGTGTTTGTTCTTGGATGTTTGCACAGTGTTTTACCTCTGTGCACCTGTAGCACATAAATACTCTATTTGATATAGGTGTTAAAGCCTCGTTAAAACCTGGAAATGAATATATGACTGTCTAAATGCTATTTAGTCTTCCTGTTATGGAAACATTTGAAATATTTGTTAGTAAATTGTTTTCTCCTGCATTACTGTTTAAACTTTCTAATTATGTCCTAACCATGATGTTCCCCCTAAAACAGTATGGCAGGTATATTGATAGAATAATTATCATAGTTATTACAGTTAAAAAGAGTATGCCAAATTTTAATGAGAGCTGCAATAAGTAATAAGGATTGTCTTTTAAAAAGATAATCTTTTTGATCTTTTTACTGGTTCAGGAAGTATAAAATTCTTTAAATGCTGTGAGAGAGGCTAAGAGTCTTAGTACTTAGGCTGTTTGGAAAAAGGAAAAAAAAGTAGCAGCAGTAGCCTTGTTAATGTCTAGCATTTTGCTTACCATTTTGCTGTTCTAAGACTCTTCCGAAGTTTGAATAAACATTTTGAAATATGGAATGATGTGAACTGAACTGAGTTTGTGGAGGTCTGTATGTGTCTTTGTGAAGGTCTATACTTGTCTGTCATAAAAGCCTTGGGGAGAATTCTAATGGACAAGCAGAACATTATAAAGACTCAGTGTGTTTCAGGAAAAACATTTTTCCCTTATTTTAAGTCCTTTGTGGAAAGGAGAGCACATGCTGCTGTGATTTCATGTTACTAGTTAATGTTTAATTACCACAGCGTATAACACATGGTAAAGTGAAGCTTGTAAATATGGGTGTTTGCATTTTTATTATTACTTTGTACTGACTTTATGATAAGAAAATGACTCCACAAAATTATACTGCAAAAAATGTCAGAAAGGTACACCATAAAATGTTATCTACTTTGAGGAATATTAAAATTCTATTTTTAAATGGAACTCTCTAATTGATTGGCTTTACCTAAATGTGCCCTTTGGGAAGAACAGAAAAGCTGAAGACAAAGGCCATCTTAAAATTTTACTACAATGGTCTTCAGAAGCAAATAACCTAAAGCTTGTCATTTTTTGATTTTTACTTTGTTCGGAGGAAAATGTAAAGAGAACTGCAAATTTGTGAGATGGCTTATGAGAGAATAAAAAAGTAAATAATAAATGTAAAAGAGCGACATGGTGGAAGAGAATGTTTACCATGTGCAATAAATGGCTTATTTTCAGAAGATTTTTATTTTAAGATTTTACTAAACTGGCGTTTACAGTTCATGAGAGGATTCGCAGTTCTGTTTGCATACGCTTGACCACTAGAGGTGTTATTTCTGGTGGACATATTTGCCACAGATTACAATTGATTCTTCACTAGCCTGTTAGATTTCTTCTCATACGAGACATTGCCAGAAGGTACAATTAGTTTCCCTACTTATCTTGAAGATTAGAAAAAAAGAGAAGGAGGCAACGCTATGGAAATCAAGGGAAGAGCACTTTATAAAGGAACTGGGGCCAGAATAATGTAAAGAAGAAACACAACACCAACTGTGAGGTGGTCATGAAGAACAGAAAAGGAAATAGTGAAATACTGGACTGCAGAACTTTTGTCTGTTGAACAGAAAAGGGAATGAGTGCCCTCTGTGGGAGGGCAAGGGGAGGAGGAGGACAGACTGAACGTTAAGGATGGAGGTGTTACTAAGTCTACAAAACAGCCAGCAGAGAGAATAGGTCTCACTTTGAACTGATAGAATAGATTACTTTATTTTTGCCTAACAAGAATTACACTGGGCATATATAGAAATTTTTAGAGGAATGAGCTGCTTGTGTGTGACAGACATAGACAATGGTAGTGTCTATAGTCTTGGAAAGCTATCTAAGCCCTGAGCTTCTGGCAGCTACATCCACCGTACCTCACCTCAAGAAGATAAACTGCAGTTGACAGCAGAGCTCTCTTAATTTGTTTTCATATTGCTATCATGCTCCAGTGTATTGGGATTAAGAATAAGTCTGAAGGAAAATATGGTCAGAAATACTTTGTATCAAATCTTTCTATAACAAGGGGCTATTTTCTTTATTTGTTTGCTAACATTTTCAGCAATATCTGATAGTAATGTTACCAGGATCTAATACTATTCTTAATCAGAGTCAACTCTGCAGGAAAAAATCAGTTTATACAAAAATGCTGGGAATTAACATTTGTGGTATTTTGGAATTCTTGAGCCTGCTGTGGGAGTGGTCGTGGATGTTATTTAGTGTTTATTGATTTAACTTGAAAATTATTTACTGAATGAATGTGCAAAAGTAATAGTTTTAATAGTAAAAATGAGAACTAAAATCCAAATGACTATTATCTTCAAGTTAGATATAGCATCCCATAAACTAAGAGGAAGTAAGTAATCTTGCTAGTAATAAACTTAGGGTGGCGATAACTTCCAGCACAGAAGCATTTTCCATTTCTTCAAAGCTCAATTGTCCCTTTTTAGATGTTATTTTTCTTTCTTGCATGTCATCCATTAAAGATTAGCCGTGGAAGGCTGGAGCATGGAGAGATTATGAGTGGAAGAACAACTCCTGCAGAATAATAATCAGTTTTTGGTATTTAATGCTGTTTGACTTTTGCAGACACATTTCTTATTAACCTTTGGTACAAACAGAAATCCAGGTTCCTGATAGCTCATGGAGAAGATGAATTCAAGATCCTCTTCCAATTAAAGCGAAATAAGGCCAATATTGGGCTTTAACCAAAAGAACTCAATAGTTCCCCAACCCTTGTGTTTATAAACCTAAATATGAATGACATTTTACAGTTTAAGTAGGTAATGCATGCACTTTCCTAACTTGTTTTTAGTGCATAATTCATTTCTATATGTATTTATAAGATTCTGAGCTTTTATTGTTGTTTTTCTATTTGTGCCTCCTTATGCAGTTACATTTTTTCAAAGTATTTACTGATATATAAGGGAATTTTGAAACTAGCTGTATGATTTGAATCCTCTATGTGGGGTGGTCTATTTATTTAAAGAACAGAGAAAAAAAAAAAAAGAAATTCAACTTCAAGGTAGGAGTGTTGCCAGTGATGGTATCTTAATTTTTGAGAGCTCAATTTGAAAAAATTTAATTTTAGCTTTGAATTGTCAGAATCATCAACTATCAAAAAAAGTAGCATGCAGCTCTTTGGCAATATAAAATAAGCAAATAGGTTAAAAATATAAACTATTAAGCTATTGATGGGCTAAAGTTTGTTTGTTTGTTTGTTTTTGTAAAAAGCTAGCCAATATGTTCTGCAAATTGTGTGATTAGTCTGGCCCCTTCTTTGTTCCCCACTGCATCGTGCTTGATGAATGTAAAAAATTGGGGTTTATTCATGATATTCTATTTCTTGGGACATTACAGAAACTCTTACTTAACCTTTCAAATCATAACTTGCAAACTTCATTGCAATATTTATTGTTTTCTCCCTGAAGTAAATATTTATCAGCAATCATTAACTGGAAAAAAAAAAAAAAAAAAGTTTAACAGCATTACTGTTTGAGTTTTGAAGTCAGCTGTGTTTAGTATACTAGAAGCAGAGGCTTAAGGATTGCCTTTCACAAGAACTGCCTTGGGGTCTGTGTATAATACTCCCTCCTATTCTTTACCCACTTTATTTTTTTTTTTTTAATTGAACCAGGATCTAAGTACACAAAGAAAACTGTACAGAACTGCCACTAAGCAACTTCAGCCTTTTATTAGGAACGCTGTGT